CACCAAGATATATCTATGGAGAAACTAGCAACGAGGAGAAGGAGAGTGCATCTACATACCCTTGTAGATCACTAAGCGGAAGCATTCAAGAGAACGGGGTTGAAGGAGTCGTACTCGTCGTGATCCAAATCACCGGAGATCCCAGTGCCGAACGGACGGCACCTCCGCGTTCAACACACGTACAGCCCGGTGACGTCTTCCATGCCTTGATCTAGCAAGGAGAGAGGAAGAGGTTGGGGAAGACTCCGTCCAACAGTAGCACAATGGCGTGGTGGTGATGGAGGAGCGTGGCAATCCTACAGGGCTTCGCCAAGCGCCGCAGGAGAGGAGGAGTACTTGGGAGAGGGGGAGGGCTGCGCCAGGGGCAAGGGTGAAGCTCCCATGCGCCTCCCCACTATATATAGGGGTGGAGAGGGCTGGTTTCTTGCCCTACAAGTCCATTGGGGCGTTGGCAAAGGTGGGAGGAAAGAAATCCCATCATTTCCTTCCCCACCGATTGTTATCCCCCCTTTTTAGGGATCTTGATCTTATCCCTTCGGGATATGATCTTATTCCTTCTAAGGGGGGATCTTGGTGCGCCTTGGCCAGGGGTGTGGGGCCTTGCCCCCACTACCCACGTTCATGTGGGTCCCCCCATGCAGGTGGGCCCCACTCCGGAACCTTCTAGAACCTTCCCGGTACAATACCAAAAAATCCCGAACATTTTCCGGTGGCCAAAATAGGACTTCCCATATATAAATCTTTACCTCCGGACCATTCTGGAACTCCTCGTGATGTCCGGGATCTCATCCGGAACTCCAAACAACATTCGGTAACTGCACACTAATTCCCATAACAACTCTAGTGTCACCGAACCTTAAGTGTGTAGACCCTACGGGTTCGGGAATCATGCAGACATGACCGAGACATACTCCGGTCAATAACCAACAGCGGGATCTGGATACCCATGTTGGCTCCCACATGTTCCACGATGATCTCATCGGATGAAGCACGATGTCAAGGACTCAATCGATCCTGTATACAATTCCCTTTGTCTAACGGTATTGTACTTGCCCGAGATTCGATCGTCGGTATACCGATACCTTGTTCAATCTCGTTACCGGCAAGTCTCTTTACTCGTTCCGTAACACATCATCCCATGTGGTCACATTGTGCACATTATGATGATGTCCTACCGAGTGGGCCCAGAGATACCTCTCCGTTTACACGGAGTGACAAATCCCAGTCTCGATTCATGCCAACCCAACAGACACTTTCGGAGATACCTGTAGTGCACCTTTATAGCCACCCAGTTACGTTGTGACGTTTGGTACACCCAAAGCATTCCTACGGTATCCGGGAGTTGCACAATCTCATGGTCTAAGGAAAAGATACTCGACATTAGAAAAGCTTTAGCATACGAACTACACGATCTTTGTGCTAGGCTTAGGATTGGGTCTTGTCCATCACATCATTCTGCTAATGATGTGATCCTGTTATCAACGACATCCAATGTCCATGGTCAGAAAACCGTAACCATCTATTGATCAACGAGCTAGTCAACTAGAGGCTTACTAGGGACATGGTGTTGTCTATGTACCCAGACATGTATCTGAGTTTCCTATCAATACAATTATAGCATGGATAATAAACGATTATCATGAACAAGGAAATATAATAATAACTAATTTATTATTGCCTCTAGGGCATATTTCCAACAACCTCGGCCTCCCCATGCGTGGCAGCCTACCTCTTCTTTCTCCCCCCAGTAGGGGCGGGGGCGGATTTCCTCCTCCTCCTCTTCTTCGGTGGAGGAGTGCGTCTCGGTGTCTTCGGACGTCATGTCCGGTGCAATCTTGCGTCGGAGACCATCTCTGGTCCGGCGGCCGTCTTCTTGGCATTCTTCTCCGGCACCTCATAGGGCGCCGGAAACAGCATCTTCGTTAGAAGAGGTGATTCTGGATCTTCGGGTAACGGAGCCAGACAGTTAATCTGCTCCTCTATCGTTACCCATGCCTGAAATATTGGCATGGAGGCTTAGGTTTCTCCCTCGGATGTGCTAGTAAAAGGCATATCTTGCAAATATGAAAACTTACCGAATTGGCTTGGCGTTTTGCGCTGAGCCCGTGATCTTCGATTGTGGGGTGGTGGTACCTCGTTGGCCTTGAATAGCACCTTCCAGACATCTTCGTGTTTCGTGCCGAAGAGCTCTCGCAGCATCTGGTGTACGGCCGGGTCGAACTCCCACAGATTGCAAGTCCGTCTCTTGCACGGAAGAATCCGGCGGAAGAGCATAACCTGGACCACGTTGACGAGCTTGATTTTCTTGCTTATCATTTTTTGGACGCATGTCTGAAGTCCGGTCAGTTCTTCCGCTGAGCCCCAGGCTGCGCCCTTCTCTTGCCAGGAGGTGAGCTGCATGGGGACGCTGGATCGGAATTTAGGGGTCGCCGCCCAGTTGGCGTCGCGCGGCTCGGTGATGTAGAACCACCCCGATTGCCACCCCTTCACAGTCTCCACAAAGGAGCCTTCGGGCCAAGTGACATTGGGCATCTTGCCCACCATGGCGCCTCCGCACTCCGCTTGTTGGCCGCTCACCACCTTTGGCTTCACGTTGAAGGTCTTCAGCCATAGGCCGAAGTGGGGCGTGATGCGGAGAAAGGCCTCGCACACGATGATAAAACGCCGAGATGTTGAGGATGGAGTTGGGGGCCAAATCATGGAAGTCCAGCCCGTAGTAGAACATTAGTCCGCGGACGAATGGGTGGAGGGGGAATCCCAGCCCGCGGACAAAGTGTGAAAGGAACACTACCCTTTCCTGGGGTTTCGGGGTAGGGATGATCTGCCATTCGGCCGGAAGCCGATGCGCGATGTCCTTGGACAAGTATCCGGCCTCCCTAAGCTTCTTGATGTCCTCCTTGACGGAGGAGGCCATCCACTTGCCTCTCGCTCCGGACATGTTCGGAATGTTTTTGCGGAGAAGGCGAAAGCTTGGGCGTTGGAGCTCGAGAATGGATGAGCAGAGGAAGAAGAAGGCGTGGGTGAAAAGGGGGAATCCTTATCTCTTTATAAAGGCAGCAGAAATCATGCGCCTCCCCACTTTCCCTAGAAACTCGCTTATTCCCCAAGCACCGTGCTATGGCACGGTTGGGTTACCCACACCCGTATTAATGAGAATTCCTTGATAAGGGGACACGATCTCTGCTTCGACAAGACGTGCCAATAAAACCGCCTCGCAAGATGTATAGTGGCAGGTTGAGAAAACGGTTCGAATAATGACCGGGTCGCGGCGCGATGTCACGCTATGGGAAAGTTGTCAACAGATTAGACTCGTGGAATATTATACTCTCTATGGTGGTATGTGGAATTTGTTTTGCAGAGCCGGACACGATTCTTGTGTTCAAGGTCTACTTTGGAGTATTCGGAGAAAGAACCCGCCTTGCAATGCCGAAGACAATCTGCACGCCGGACTCATCGTCATTGAAGCCTGGTTCAGGGGCTACTGAGGGAGTCCTGGATTAAGGAGTTCTCGGACGGCCGGACTATATGCTTATGCCGGACTGTTGGATTATGAAGATACAAGATAGAGGACTTCGTCCCGTGTCCGGGTGGGACTCTCCTTTGCGTGGAAGGCAAGCTTGACAATTCGGATATGTAGATTCCCTTCTTTGTAACCGACTCTGTGTAACCCTAGCCCCTCCGGTGTCTATATAAACCGGAGGGTTTAGTCCGTAGGACAACAACAATCATAATCATAGGCTAGCTCCTAGGGTTTAGCCTCTACGATCTCATGGTAGATCAATTCTTGTAATACTCATATCATCAAGATCAATCAAGCAGGAAGTAGGGTATTACCTCCATAGAGAGGGCCCGAACCTGGGTAAACATCGTGTCCCCCGCCTCCTGTTACCATTAGCCTTAGATGCACAGTTCGGGACCCCCTACCCGAGATCCGCCGGTTTTGACACCGACACACCCCGCCGCCGAGCATGCAGATTGGGAGTGCGCCACTGAGCCGCCGCCACACACCATCGAGGCCGCGTGAATGGGGTAGAGGTTGCCCAGGGGAACCGCACTAACGCCGCCGTCATTGGGTCCCGCCCGGGCTTCATCGGCGGCATCTTCGATAGCGGTGAGACGTGGAGGGGAAGGGAGGGGTCGTGGAGGTGTGCATGAGTTTCCCACTGTGTTGCCAGAGGAGGGCGGCGCAGGGGTGTTTCTGTGGCCAATGTCTGATATTGTTTGGGCCTCCCCTTATATATGGGGTGGAGGCTAGGGTTTTACAATGTGAGAGATACGATCTAGGTTGCCGCCAGCGCAGGCTTGGGGGGCCAAGAAGGTCTTGGGTTGTCTATCCTTCTCAGTCTGGTTCTTATCGCCAGGTGTGTAGTAGGCCTCCTGGGCCCTTAGGCAGGCCTGTTGCCAGGCTCCTATAGGTGAGCCACTCCCGGTGTACTTCACAAAAGGGAAAAAAATAAGAAAACCTAGGAAAACCAAGCAAAATTCAAAAAAAATGAGAACGCATGCAGGAAACAAAACGGTGCGCCCCGCGCACGACATGTGGCGGCAGCTGGGCGGACCACGTGGTGCCCGCCCACGGTGTCCGCTACGAACAACCCCCCCCCCCTTCCCCCGGCGCGCGCGCGCAAGGGGTGCTTGCGGACTAGTTGCTCCCACCATCTTCTTCGAGCTCAGTGGGAGGTTTTTAGTTTAATCTTTTTTTCAAAAAGAAGAAAAGACTAGAAGGCGTAATATCAATCTCAGTCCACACATTGGGCTTGACGGTGCACATAAATGGGCCGAGCCCTTGTCATATCCCAAGTTGGAAAGCCCTGCCCTACCTATTTTTTTTTTCAAGACTCCGAAAATCCGAATGGGGAAAGATTTTTTGCGCGTAAGCAAATATCCCCGGAGACCAGACCAACCACACCGGAGCCAGAGAAATATCTCCTTCGCTTTTGCACTTTTCTTTTTGGGGGGTCCCCGACACGTCACAGCACAGCACCGCTGCTCCCCCGGCGATGGCCTGCGGCGAGTCCGAGGCGGAGCGGCGGGCGGCGCTGCTGCGCGAGATAACGGAGGAGGGCGGCTTCGCCTTCGTCGCCTCGGCGGAGAAGGCGGTGGCGGGGGACCTGCGGGCGGCGGAGGCGGCGCGGGAGATGGCGTGGGAGCAGCTCCACTCGGGGCCCTGGAGCGAGGTCGGCAGCGCGTGGAGGGACGCCTACGCGCTCGCCTGCCTCCACGTCGCGCGGCTCCGCCGGGCCGCCGCCGACCGCCGCGCAGCGCTCCGGGCGCTCGACATGGGGCTCATCATGGGGGGAAACCTCCTCCGCGCCGATCTCGAGGCCGCCCTGGCCTCCATCGCCGCGGAGCCGAGCGACGGCGAAGGTGACGGCGCGGAGGCTGTCGATGAGGAAGCCAATAGGTGGAAGGAAGGGCTCGACAGGAACCGTGACATCGCCGATGTGAGACCGCTACTGCCTTCGTAAGATTTCGTGCGTGTGTGCGTGGGGCTGTGGGCAATATATACCACCAGTAACAGAGCTTAATTTTGTAGGGGCTTGTTGCAGAATGCCTATTTTTCAATGTTTAATAAGGCTGCAATTTACTAAATTTAGATTATTTATAGTTCTTATTGTGCGAAGATCTCATGTTGCTACATAGGGTGCACCATCTTAAGCAAATTATGCATGTAGCATTGATACAGTGAATGATGTCATGAGTTGTCCGGATATTTGACCCAAAAAATAGGTGTAGATTATCTGTAGTGATTATAAGATTATTTTTCTAGTTACCTCGTTGCTTCCTTGTTTTCTGTATTGTTTTTGCGGATGAGAGCAGTTATAGTTCCTTTCTTGGTGTATTGTTGTTAATGATGCTATAATTTTCTCAGGCCCTCAAAATTCTTCCAACAAAATCGTTATCCTGTAAAGAAATCGCAAGACGGTCGTGTATATCTTTGGAGGAGTTTATATGTGATCACTTTTTACCTGAGACCCCTGTTATAATCAGTGGCTGCATCGATCATTGGCCTGCAATGAAAAAATGGAAGAACATCCAGTACCTAAAGAAGATTGCTGGGGATCGGACTGTTCCTGTTGAGGTGAATGCTTCTCCTTAAAGTAGATGTTGAAATACAAAAATGAGCTGTTTCTATTTTGATGATTTATCATACCTGTTTGTGCTGATATGTGATTCTGCATTTCATTACAAATGTTCATCAAACCCTGGTGATTCAATGCTGTTATTAGTTCTCAAAGGCCTTCACATCCCATAGAAATAAATTATGAAGCTTAATGCTCATCTCTTTTCTGCTGATATGGAACAAAATGTGCATCTAACCTTGATGCTCGATAACATTGTTTGTAAAAGTGGCTTCAAAGTTTGATCTTCAGCACACCTGTCTTACACATCCCGCTACACTATAGTACCACACTTGCTTAGTTGCTTACTACCTCCGTCCTGGTTTACTGGTCCCCATTGTATTCTGTGCCAAATTTTGACTATAAATTTAACTCATAAAATGTTTATGCATGTCACCAAAAATTATATTATTGAAAACTATGTGCAAAAACGAATCCAACGATATAATTTTTGTTGACATGCATTAACATTTTGTTAGTTAAATCTTTAGTCAAAATTTGGCACAAATTACAAAGGGGACCAATAAACCAGGACGGAGGTAGTACACAATAAGCACATTTTTGAGCAATTTGATCCAATTGTGCTTTCTTTTTGCAAGTTTGGAACATATATCTTTTGCCTTGGCCGTCAGATTCATATGCATATCAAACTTCTTTTGAACTGCTTTGTTTTTTGTCACGTTTATTTGTTTCATCTTTGACACTATTCACTTATTTTGTATTTGTTGTTTTACCAACCGTGTTATTTTGAAAACCCTAAGTGTGTGTATTTCTTCACGGGTTTTTTGCATATGTGATTCCATGCCTTTTTGACGTGCTTCACTTTGCTATACTTTTGCTTGTATCATCTTTACTTAACCATGCCGGTGTTTGTAAGAACTACAAAGAACCAATTCTCTTGATGTTGAAACATATTAGTATAGCTGTGTAAAATCTTGTTCCATTAAGAGAATATCCAGGAATGCCAGATGACAGTAGCTAGCTATTTATATGCAATCCGAGCCAGTTCAATTTGTGCTTCCTTCTAGTAATTTAGGACCCATGCTTAGTTAAGATTTTAGAAAGAACACTACTCCTTGTATTAATTTCCTAGTGATGTTTGACCCTTGCTTAGTTAATATTTTAGAAGGAACATTTCCCCTTGCTTCAATTTCCTAGTGGTTTTGGTGCACTGATATAGTTGACTCCGTGTCAGGTTGGGAAGAGCTATGTTTGCAGTGAGTGGAAGCAGGAGCTTATCACGTTCTCCCAGTTCCTTGAGAGGATGTGGTCAACCGCCTGTCCTTCAAATTTGACATATCTAGCTCAGCATCCATTATTTGAGCAGGTGGACGCTGTAATTGTTGAATCCTTAGTAAAAGTTACTTTTTATGGAAGAGAAAATGTCTTAGTTCAGCTGTCAGATTTTAGTTATTGACGTTTGGCAGATAAAAGAGCTTCATGAAGACATAATGGTTCCTGACTACTGTTATGCTGGTGGAGGGGAACTCCAATCACTTAATGCTTGGTTTGGTCCACACGGGACAGTGACACCATTGCACCACGACCCGCATCACAACATTTTAGCTCAGGTATACGGGAATATACTGTTTTTACCTTTGATTGTTGGTTTCTAGAGTTAATAACCAATGCTTGATGTTCCTGTACCTTAAAACTTGAACAGACATTTTGCAAGTAGATATTTTCTTGATAACAAATTATCTATATTATCTTGGAAATGGTGCTGTTCTGTTATGCGATTAATTTACTAGTTTTTAACTGTGTTTCCTTCAGTTCTTGATATGTATGCAAGTAACTCTGCATATTTGAGTTCTCTAACGAAATGTTGCATCTATGTAATTTGTTAAACAATGTTAAGAAACTCATAATCATTAGATATAGCGTAGAGATAATCACAAACGGCTCTTTGAGCCAGGAATTGAGAATTACCTAAGGAGCTTCGCCTGCCAGGTAGCAGCATAATTTTTGTTCTTGTGATACAGACTTTAACCTTCCAGTCAAGACTGCTGATGACCTTGTGAGTGTTTACGTTAGAAATTATTTTGCCCTCATGTTGAGCTTCATATAGCTCAGTGGCTTCATTTGTTTCGACTGTAAATGTTCTAGTATATTCTGGATGATGCCTGTTAACATTTCCTTTATATAACTTTATCATCAGTTGTTGTTAATTATATTTTCTCCATACCAGGTCTTGGGCAGGAAGTATATTAGACTCTATCCTGGTTCTGTATCCGAAGACTTATACCCACACACAGAAACTATGTTGAGCAATACTAGTCAGGTACAGACAATCTGTTCTGACAAGTTACATGTTGGAAAAGAAGAATACCCTTGCAGATCATCACAGCGGTACATATAGTTTTGGCAGCTGAATATTGTAATACTGAAATTTCCAGATTTTTGTTAGTAATACTCTCTTGTTGTCCATTACTCTTAAGCACAGCATTGCAAACTGGAGCTTTATTTTTGGGCTAAATCAGTAAACTATGATAGATCACCACTCTATAGGTCTTTTTTATTTCTTTCTTCGGTTGCTTGTCCACCCCCCACCCCACCCCACCCCTATTTCGGTGTTGTGAATTTTCAGTTTTCTTCTGTAGGTACAGCAAACAGGGTTATATTAGCCAGCCTTCCCCTTATGGTTCCATATTGTCCATTATCCACATGACATGTTCTTACAGTTTTTTTTGGGTACAAATGCAATGCAATAGTGTGTAAATAAAGACAATTCTTGGTATTATATTGTGCTAATGAATGCCTCTGCAGGTGGATCTTGACAACATAGATATGAATGAGTTCCCAAAGGTAGAAAACCTTGATTTCATGGACTGCATATTGGAGGAAGGTGACATGCTGTATATTCCTCCGAAATGGTGGCATTACGTCAGATCTCTATCGATTAGTTTCTCCATTAGCTTTTGGTGGCGTACCACAGTTATAAGTCCGAGCGCGTAATGAAAACATTTTGGTCTTTGATACATCAGGACCAGATCTCAGGACTCAGGGACTTGGTAAGCCTGACTGGACACATTGTTTCAACATTCTGTCGCCCACCGTTGCGTGGATGTAGTCGTTTGTACCTACTATCGCAGATGTACATGGTTACTTTTATTATAATTATTTTGGACATTTGATTGCTGTTATCGCAGATGACCATTGTTACTTATACTATAATTATTTTGGACATTTAATTGCTGCTAAACGCCTAAACCTTTATATTATGTTGCCCTCTGATGCTTGAGCTTGATTTTTCTTTTCCATGAGACTTGAGCTTGAGATTGAAAGGCTGATGCATTTTATGAGGTTCTGTAACCCATGAGTGTCATTTCTTTGGAGGAGAAAGCTGCAACTGTGATGTCCCAAATACTCCAATGGTGAAGATTTTATTGCACTTGGGGTCTCTCTCTGTTATGTTCATGCATTCTGGATCCTGAAAAGTTGGAAGATTTGCCACCTTCTATTCTGTTAAAACCTGTGCTGATATATCTTTTTCTATGTATACATGTGGTTAAGCAATTTGTTATTTTTGGTGTTTTTGGTCCTGTCCAGCAACTGGAGTGTCTGGATGCACCAAAAGAACCAATGGTCGAAGGAGGAACCTACCCTAACCAGCACCAGCCAAAGGATTAGGGCCTAGCTCACAAGCGTTTGTCATACGTAATTAAAGGGTTAATCCAAATCATATTATTTGCCTATCTAGCTGTGATTCGCAGAAGTAGTTGCCTCCAAACAAGGGGAACACACATCCCATGTTTAGTGGATCGACTGTCACAAGTGATTCGATTCACAACTATAGTTTTTTTTGGTCGGACAAAAGAAGAACCGGTTGCTTTTCCCTATGGATGGTCTTGTCTGCTCGACACTCCCTCCTAGCTCCTCCTCGTCTAGCTCCTCTCCGAACTCGGACATTGTGATGACGATGGCGGAGTTATGCAAGGGCACCATGGCATTCATGCTATCCTATTACGCTTGGAGTTTCCTTCTTGCCGCGGGAATGCTGTTGAGGACAGCGGAGCTGGATCATTAATTAAACTCATTAAAAGGCGCTAGAATGGTGGCCAACCAGCTATGCCATGTGACGCATGTTGGTTGGTCACAATGAGAAAGTATTCTTTTAGAGCTTTTTTAAATGGTAGGAAGACTTTTTTGAGAGAATTTTTTTTAGGTTTTTCTTTTTTCTTTTAAGATGGTTGCGATGTCCATGTGACGTGAGAATATTTTTTAAATTTTTTGACATGATGATGAGGTGTGCATAGTTTTCTTTCAAGCGGCCCACGATAGCAGGCCCCAACCACTAGTATCCACCAAGTGCCGCACGGTCTTGAAGCCCAGACTCCATGGAGCCCGGTAAAAATTCAAAAACAAATCCACGGACACACGTAGATGTGTTAAACATATTTCTAGAACGCCTTAATTTGCATGCTACATAAAAATGACATGTGGCTCCTGAAAATGAAAAGGCAACTCCTTTTATCAATGTGTTTTGTATTATTATTATTATTGGTAAGAACAAATTAATATGGAAGCCTCATAGGAACATGCTGCAAGCTGTAAGCTTTCTTTGAGCGTAGCCTGGGCTTAAGTCCGTTTGGTAGGACGTGTCATGGGCCCATTTCAGTCCAGTTGCAGCAGAATATGTAGAACGACTTCACTCACTCTCTAAAAACCAAGCTGCTGAGAGCATATACAGCCAGATTTGGCAAATCGACCCCTTAAACGCCCGCGGACGCGCCCAGGCGTGTCCGCGGGCAGTGACTGGTCACGCCTCAAGAATGCATTTCACATCCGAATACCTCAAATTAATATTATTACATGTAACACAACGATCTTTGAGCGGAGCCTTGTCTGGTTCCGCTCCCCGCTCACGCGGCTCCGCCCTGGCCATGTCGGCGGCCGGCTGCGCTCCTCAGAGTGTTGGTCCGGTCGCCGGCAAGGTAGAGTAGGGCATGGGACACGAGCCGGCTCATGGGACTCAAGGCGTCGCCGCCTCCCGTGCCCTACTCTTTCTCGTCGGAGCCCGGAACCCGAACAGTGTCGGTGCACGTCAGATTGATGGCGGATCCGTCCTGAGATGAGCTGTCGATGTCCACCACGATGCGGTTGCGGCGCCTGAACTGATGCGCCATACGGGGCGCCGGAGATTGCAACTCCGTCTCGCCGACATCCACCACCGCGAGGGCTGCCGCCGCTTCCCGCGCCGGTGCCTGGCTCGGCGGGCACGCCGTGCCATGTTCTCGTCAGATGAGGCCTATGGTGCGTCCCGATGCTCGGCGCGCCAACAGAGGGGTTGCGCGTCCGCCACCGCGTTCGGGCACCAGATGGTCCGCACTGCCTCCGGCGAGGCAGCTACGGCTGACCTAGCGGGGGTCCATGCGCCATTTGGGCGGATGCAATGGATTTCCGACGGAAGGATTCTGAGTGCTGTCGTGCACGAGTCTCCTCCCTGGCGCGGCGGAGCGCAAGCCGGACGACCATCTCCTCCTCGGGGCCGCATGGGATGAACTCGGGGTCGACGGGTCTGGAGGTGAAGGACTCGGATCCGCTGCCCGCCATGCCGAAGACGACCGAAAGTCGCCAGAGACAAGTTTGGGTGGCGGAGGGGAGTGGAGGGGAGTGAAGTGAAGTGGCTAGGGTTTGGTCTGACGAGCGGATGGGGACGAATATATGTGGGGTTGGGTGGGCCAGTGTGGGTCGGGTCCGATGTGGCGAACGCGTCTGGGCGCGCCCGGGCGCCCCATATCCGCCCCATATTTGGGCTGGATATGAGGGGTACCGTTCAGCCCGGGCGTTTGCGGGCCGTTTGAGAGGGTCATCTGGGTCAAAATTTTGCGACCGACAGTGACCGGGCGGCCCGACCGGGCGTATGAGACGGATTTGGGGCGCCCGGCTATAGATGCTCTGACACGACGTGGTTTCGTGGCGAGGAGCTAGGCTCCCAAGGGAAGCCGCTGGAGACTTTGCTAGTTCTCTCACCTCCGACCGTCATGTTGCGAGGTGAGGGGGACCTTGGATTTCTTATGACCATTAGGAAGTTTTTTTTGTGTGATTTGATGTCTCAACATCAACGTCTTGGCTGAGGGTGCGATGCCATCAAGAATAACCGTACTCTGGTTTTCTCGCACTATGGCGGTGTCTCATCGGACAGTGTCACGGAAACAGAGAGTTTGTGTCTCTGCATGTTTGATGTGTCCAACCTTGCAATTTTATGTCCTTGCAGATTCGTTCCTACGGATCCGATGAGTCTGTGTTAGCGTTCTTTGTTGCTTATGTTGGTGTAATCCATTGTGACATTAGGTTCCTTTTCTGGCGTTCTGGTAAAGATCTTTGGGGTTCATTGACTTGTACCTCTAAGGGGGTCATGTTGGGCCCAAGTACATTCAAGATTGATGATTTCTCATCCTTTTAGATGGGTCACTCAATAGGTTTGTGAAACCTATGAAAGTAGTCGAGTTTGTGCAGGTTTGCGAGTGGCCTCTTCACCGAAGACTTGGCAGTATTTCTTGTTGCAAAGATTGATACCATGAAGAAGATATTTCTGAGAAATTTCTTGTAGTTCTCACCGATAAGAGTTGCTTTGTAATTTCTTGGATCAATGATCCAAAGCAGTGTACATGTAATGTTTGTCAAGTATGAATAAAGTTATTTCATTCTAAAAAACTCTCTCCACCAAGCTCCAGTCCCCATCAAATCAAAGAGACGGCACCACCACTACTCACTTTCGTCGTCGTCGTGCCTCCAACCCTTCCCCCTCCCTCACCCTAGAGAGATATCATCTTCTGTATTATCAGTCTCTCGCCATCGAGCATGTCGTTTCTTGGTGTGGTGCAGGAGGAGATCGGCGGCGAGCAGCATCGGCAACTGGGGAGAAGGAAGATGCAGGTAGAGGTCACATCAATTGGTAAGTGCATGATTACCATGGTACCACCGTGACTAGATTTTTAGTCTCACTTCTCCAGTTTAGACATGATTCCGCCGTTTTATTAAGGTTGGCATGAGTAAGGCTATCACCAAGTAGAATAACTAGAGAGTTCTAGTTGTAGAGTGTATGGTAGAGGTATAGGATAGGGTGTGTACAAGGTTTAGGGTTACAGGGGCGCGGGAATACAGGGCGGGGGCTATGCCCAGGGGCGGTGCTAAGGTGCTAGCTATGCTCGGCGGGAGAGCTGGGGCAGGGGGCTATGCCTCACAGGAATATACCATAAGGGGGTTCAAAATTACTTAAAATACTAAACATAAAGGGAATAAAAATTTATAAATCTAACTTGACGGGATCTTTTTGTTTCTATGCAGAATTTTTCAAGCACCTAGTTTTTTGTGTACGTAAGATCAAACCCCGGAATTGTTGGGGAACGTTGCATGGAAAACAAAAAAAATACGCACACGCAAGATCTATCCATGGAGATGCATAGCTACGAGAGGGGAGAGTATGTCTACGTACCCTCATAGACGGTTAAGCAGAAGCATTTATCAACGCGGTTGACGTAGTTGTACACCTTCATGATCCGCCCGATCAAGTACCGAACGTATGACACCTCCGTGTTAAGCACACGTTAGCTCGATGACGTCCTCGCCTTCTCGATCCAGCAAGAGAGGCGAAGTAGTAGATGAGTTCTGGCAACACGACGGCGTGGTGACGGTGGTAGTGCAACTATCTCGCAGGGCTTCGCTGAGCACTACGAAAATTCTGATCGAGGACGAACTAGAGGGAGAGGGGTGCCGCACACGGCTTGGGGATCGTGCTGGGTGTGCCCCTCTCCCTCCTCTCATATATATGGGTGGAGGGGAGGAGGAGGCTGCCTAGGCACACCCCTAGGGGGCCGGCGGCCAGCCCTAGGGCACCTGCCCTTAGACGCCCCCCTTCCTTATTTGCTCTCCGGGGAAAGGAAAGGGAAGGAGAGGGAAGGAAAGGGGAGGTCGACTCCCCTGCTTCCTTTTCTCCCCAACGCCAGCAGCCAGAGGTGGGGCACGCCAGCCCCTTGTGGGCTGGTGTGCTCCCCTCGTTTGGCCCCTATGGCCCAATAACCTCCCGGGGCTTCCCGGAACCCCTTACGGTGATCCAATGATTACCCGGTACTTTCCGAAACCTTTCCGGTGACCAAATTGTATCATCCTATATATCAATTGTTGGGAAACATAGCATGCAATTTCAAAAAAATTCCTACGCTCATGCAAGATCTATCTAGGAGATGCATAGCAACGAGAGGGGGAGAGTGTGTCCATGTACCCTTGTAGACCGAAAGCGGAAGCGTTTGACAACATGGTTGATGTAGTTGAACTTCTTGTCTTTCCGACCTATCAAGCACCGAACGTACGACACCTCCGAGTTCTGCACACGCTCAGCTCGATGACGTCCCTCGAACTCTTGATCCAGCAAAGTGTCGAGGGAGAGTTCCATCAGCACGGCGGCATGGTCACGGTGATGGTGAAGTGATCCGTGCAGGGCTTCGCCTAAGCACTACGTGAATATGAACGGAGGCGTAAACTGTGGAGGGGGGCGCCACACACGGCTAACAATTGTTGGTGTGTGTTCTAGCAGTGCCCCCTCACACACACACACACACACACACACATACACACACACTCCACCAAGCTCCAGTCCCCATCAAATCAAAGAGACGACACCACCACTA